TGGTATGATTTCAGTCTTCTTAATTTGTTAAGACTTGTTTTGTGACCTGACATCTGATCCAGCTGGAGAGAGACCCACATGCCCTTAAGAGACTGCTTTTTTTCTGTCGTTGGGTGGAATGTTCTGTAGGTATCTGTTAGGTCCGTTTGGTCTATAGTGTTATTCACTTACAGTGATCTTCTATCTGGATGTTCTGTTCATTATTGAAAATGGGGCATTAAAGCCTTCTACTTTGATTGTATTCCTGTCTATTTCTCCCTTCAGTTTTGTCAGTTTGCTTGATATATTTGGGTGCCTTGATGTTGAGTGCATATGTATTTAAAATTGTTTTATCTTCCTGGTATATTGACCCTTTCCTCACTGTATAATGCCCTCTGTTGTCTAATATGACAATTTTTAATTTAAATTCTATTTTGTCTGATGTAAGTATAGCCACTCTCATTCCCCAGGAATCCTGCTGTTGGGTAAGAAATCCAATTACCCTGGGACCACTATGTTAGAGAAGCCAAGTGTAAATGCTCTAGTTAACGGTTCCCACTTTGCCTGGTTTTCTAGCCAAAATACTAGACATGTGTATGAAGCCATATTGGATGCCCCAGACCACTCCATCTGCCAGATGAATGCCAACTTGTCCTCCACGATGCTTCATGGAACAAATTTCTCCAGCTGAGTCATGCTTAAATTCATGACCCATAAATTTGTTTTTTTTCTTAAATTTTTTAATAGTTTTTATTTATTTTTGAGACAGAGAGAGACAGAGCATGAGCGAGGGAGGGGCAGAGAGAGAGGGAGACACAGAATCTGAAACAGGCTCCAGGCTCTGAGCTGCCAGCACAGAATCCAATGCGGGGCTCAAACCCAAGAACCATGAGACCATGACCTGAGCCGAAGTCAGACACTTAACTGACTGAGCCACCCAGGCGTCCCACGACCCATAAATTTGTTTTGCAGTAGTTTGTTACACAGCATTTGTTAGCCAGAACAGGAACAACTGACCCCTGTTGTCCCCATTTTAGCTCAGCTTTTGGGCAAATTAAGCCCCATTATGGAGTAATTTATGTTCCTTTACTTCTCTTTTTTCCTTTGGACAGAACTTTACACATAAAAACATTCTGATCCTTTTGATTAACTGTAAACATACATATATTTTTACCTAGCTGTGATATCTTTATGCTTATTATTTTCTTCTCCTTTATACTTTTGCCTGATATTTTCATTAACAATAGTTACTGGTCTGTTTTAAATAGCTATAGCATATTCCAGATGTCATAGTAGGCTTAACATCCCTTTTTTCTTGGGTTTTGAGAGGTCCCTACCGCTGGGGTTGGGGTATTTTCACACAGATTGCTCATTTCTTGTTAGTATCCGTGTCATTATTTTTGTCCTCTTTTCTTGGCTGGGGCATACAGCTTGCACTTAGGTGAGGTCTTTCCCTGAATTTGGCCAGTAAAATGTAAACAAAGGGATATGTGTCCTTCCAGCCTGCCTCATAAAAGGTTCAAATGATAGAGGAAGGCATGGCCATTCAGTGGAAGGAGCAGAGCGCCCACAGCCTGCTGACCTCCAAAGGATGTATGGTGAAAGAGAAATAGACTTTCATTTGGTTAATACTTGGAGATTCTAGGGTGCGTCTGTTACAGCAGCTGGCATTATTTACCTTAACTAATATGGGTATTTTAAAAGCTTCTGCTATCATCATGTGCATTAACCCACTGATAGAGTATGACAGTAATTACTACTGACTCTTTCAAGTAATTACTACATTTTGTTTGTTTTATTTTCAGTAAGTTAATTTCAGGGGTCCTGCTAGCATTTAGAATTTTGAAAGGAGAATTTCCTTGGCTTGTCAAAACTATAGCTCTATGGTATCTATATGCAAAACAAACAAAAAGCCTTAAATTAAAAATTGTGTCTTAAAAATAGGGCTGTTCAAGTTACTATAGAATAGAGATACTAGTCTGTATTCTCTGAAGTCACATACTCAAGTGCTTCTACCATTCATTAGTTCATTCATTCATTCATTCATTTATTCATTTATATAATCAGCTTGTGCTAGACATTGGTGACCCAAAGAGGAAAGAGACAGACTGATTTCTTTTAGCCATGATCTGTATAATCATGAATTTACCTGGGTGACCTGGGGCAAACTCTCTTCATATATTCTGTTTGTAAAATGAAGGCAATATTACTGTTATATTCACTTCTAGGATTCTGGCAGCACCCACATGAGATTAACCACATAACACAGTGCCTGTCATCTACTAAGTGCTCAATAAATACCATTTTTTTTAAAAAGCTTACTAACCAATCTTGATAGCTGAGTAGTTAAAGACAAAGATTCCCAGAGGGACACTTAGCTTTAATACTGCCCCCAAATAAGCAGCACCAGCACATCTCTTGCTGTCATCTTCTTGAGGGCTTTCCTTAAATTTGGGGCTACTGAGTCAACAATATTCTCCACAAAAAGAATTTTATAGTATTCATAGATATCCATAATTTCTTTTAGGTAAATGCCTAACAGTAGAATTTCTGGGTTATGGGATAGCTACATGTATAACTTGATAAGAAACCACCAGCTTTCCAAAGAGCTTATACCATTTTACACCTCCATTAGGAAAGTATGAGAGGTTACTGCTGATCCTCACCAACATGGGGTATTATCAGGTTTTTTTTTTTTTCATTTAATTTTGGTGAATTCTGATTTACCTATTTTTCTTGTTTTGCTTGTGTTTTTGGTGTCAGAGCTAAGAAATCATTGTCTAGTTAGAAGTCACAAATATTTACATCTATTTTTCCTCTTAGGAGTTTTATAGCTTTATCTTTTACATATAAATCTATAATCTAAGGTGCCTGGGTGGCTCAGTTGGTTAAGCATCCAACTTTTGATTTCACCTCTGGTCATGATCTCACAGTTGTGGGTTCAAGCCCTGAATTGGGGCTCTGTGCTAATTCTCTCTCTCTCTCTCTCTCTCTCTGCCCTTCCCCCACTCATGTTTTCCCCATCCCTCTCTCAAAATAAATAAATAAGCATTTAAAAAATATAATCCACTTTGAGTTAATTTTTGTGGATGGTGTGAAGGAAGAGTCCAAATTCCATCTATTGCATGTGGATATCCAGATGTCCTAGCATCATTTGTTGAAAGGCTATTCTGTTCATTGAATTGTCTTGGCCATTTTGTGGAAAAAATATTGACCACGAATGTAGTGGGCTTATTTCTGGATTCTCAGTTCTATTCCATTGATTTATATGTCTCTCCTTTTGCTTAGTTTTCATTGGAGTAATTCATTGTAGTTCTAATTTGCACTTCATATATTTTCCTGATGACTAATAATTGCCTTGAAAAGTTTCTTCTTGTTCATTCCAGTAGATCCCTTACCTTATCCCCCATAATTAGCCATTGTTTTGATTAGTTTATATCATAAATCAGTCTTTCCTGTTCTAGAACTTTATGTAAACACAGTATACATTAGTATAGGCATCTTTCATTAAACAAAATGTTTTTAAATTCATCCATGCTATCGTTTGTATCAATAGTTTGTTCCTTTTAATGGGAAAAGATAGTTGCAAATAACAGATAAAGGGTTAATATCCAAAATCTGTAAGGAATTCACCAAACTCCACACCCCGAAAAACAAACAACCCAGTGAAGAAATGGGCAGAAGATATGAACAGACACTTCTCCAAAGAGGACATCCAGATGGCCAACAGACACATGAAATGATGCTCAGCATCCCTCCTCATCAGGGAAATACAAATCAAAACCACACTGAGATACCACCTCAAGCCAGTCAGTGTGGCTAAAATGAGAAAATTGGAGGACTCTAGATGCTGGCGAGATTGTGGAGAAATGGGCACCCTCCTACACTGTTGGTGGGAATGCAAACTGGAGCAGCCAATCTGGAAAACAGTGTGGAGGTTCCTCAAAAAATTAACAATAGAACTCCCTATGACCCAGGAATAGCACTGCTAGGAATTTACCCAAGGGATACAGGAGTGCTGATGCATAGGAGCACATGTACCTGAATGTTCATAGCAGCACTCTCAACAATAGCCAAAATATGGAAAGCGCCTAAGTGTCCATCAACGGACATATGGATCAAGAAGATGTGGTTTATCTATATGATGGACTACTACATGGCAATGAGAAAGAATGAAATCTGTGTAGCAACATGGATGGACCTTGAGGGTGTTATGCTGAGCAAAATAAGTCAAGCAGAGAAGGACAAATACCATATGTTTGCACGTATAGGAGGATTAGGAGGAACTTAACAGAGGATCATGGGGGAGAAGAAAGGGGGAAATAGTGGGGGAGAGGGAGAGAGGCAAACCATGAGAGACTCTTGAATGCTGAGAACAAACTGAGGAGTGGGGGGGAGGGGGAGAGTGATGGGCATGGAGGAGGGCACTTGTGGGGATGAGCACTGGGTGTTATATGGAAACTAACGTTGACAATAAACTATTTGTAAAAAAATTACATAGTTTGTTCCTTTTAGAAAACATTTTTTGCTGCAAAGATTTTCTAATTTCTTTTACTTCTTTTTCATGTAATTTTTATGTGAAAAATTCTAGCCTACAGGTGATTTTTTTATAATTCTCATCCAATTTCTAATTTCTTTAATATTTGGTACAATTTTAAGTCTGTCCAGTTTTGGATCTCTGACTTTTCTCTTATTCCTAATTTTTGTCATTCGCATGTAGTTGCCTTGCTAAAGTCCCCCACAAACTGTGCTATAGTCAACGGCTATTTTCTTCTTTATTTCAAAGTTCATATACATTGCCATCTTTTTACTAACCTGCTTATTTATGTATTTATCCAAATATCCTATCTGATATTATATTCTTGGTAATGAGTTATTCAAATATGCACTTGGTTTAGAATACCTACTAGTTTCTGAAATTTTGCCAGAATTACTCATGGTATTTGGGGAAACGCTCTAGATATAAAAGAAACTCCATCCCCTCTGATCTTTTTTCTTTTCTTTCTTTTTTATTTTCTCAGATGCCTTTGACTTTGCAGATGATTTGGAAGCATTAGTTGCAAAGGTATACATTTACCTCTCTGGTTACACAAAAGAATAGAAATGCACAAGATGAGTTTGTGCTGTTCCAAGGAATGACTTTCGTACAATCTGCAGATTCTAGGTTCCGTCAGAAAGTCAATACTCCCTCTCCACCTCCACTGCTGCCAATAATTAAAGCTGCTGAAGAAGAGTGAGTTTTTAATGCAGTGTCCCCACCTTTCTTACTTCCTTTACTTTGAACTCTCAGTTCCTGTCTTTTTTGGCCTTTTATCTTCCCTGAATACACCCTGGCTTGGGTAGAATTGTCAAATCATCTACCCTGTCAGCACTCCTTTTGCTGCTCGTCTACCTTTATTCCTTCTGCAAGGCTCTCCCTGCCTATCCCCCTACCCCCAGTCAGGGTTCAACCAGAGAAAGAACTAATAGTTGATATATACTAAGACATTAATGCACAGAATTAGCTTACAGGACTGTGGTGGCTGGCAAGTGCACTGGTAGGGTACGCCATCAAGAAGGGCACACTGAGATGCCTGGGCAGCAGCTGAAGCTGTTATGCACAGAGGAATTTCTTGTTCTTTAAAGGAGCCTGTTTTTCTCTTAAAACCCTTTAACTGAGTAAGTCTCACCTAGATTATCTACGATCATCTCTATTATTTAACATCTACTAATTATAGGGGCACCTGGGTGGTGCAGTCAGGTAAACATCCAACTCTGCATCTTGGCTAAGGCCATGATCTTGGCTCAGGTCATGAGTTCAAGTCCCACACTGGGTCCTGAGCTGATGAGGTGGAGCCTGCTTGGGATTCTGCTTCTCCTTCTATTTGCCCCTCCCCTGCTTGTGCATGCGCCCTCTCGCATTCTCTCTCTCTCTCTCAAAATAAATAAATGAGGGGTGCCTGGGTGGCTCAGTTGGTTGAGCATCCGACTTGGGCTCAGGTCATGATCTCACGGTGGTTCATGGGTTCGAGCCCCGCATCAGGCTCTATGCTGACGGCTTGCTCAGACCCTGGGGCCTGCGTCGGATTCCGTGTCTCCTTCTCTCTCTGCCTCTCCCCCATTTGTGCTCTGTCTCTGTCAAAAATAAATAAATGTAAAAAAAATTTTTTAATAAACAAAATATTTTATAAAATCTTCCGATTATGAGTTTAATTCATATTTACGAAATACTTTCACTGTAACACCTAAATCAGTGTTTGATTGAGTAACTGGGGAACTACAGTCTATTCAAATTGACATATAAATCTAACCACCACACCCCATTGCTTTTACTCACTGGTTTAATTGGTAACTAAAATGTTAACTGATGGAAACTGGATGCTTCCCAGGGCTATTTTCATGTTATGAAGAAATGTTCAAGAACCAAAGAAATAAAACAATAATAAAATAAAAATAGCTAAGTGTGTGTGATGTGAGGTTGGGCAGGGATGGAATGAAAGCCACTGCCTATTCAAAAGGCCAAGATTGCCCACAGGTACGGTCACTGCTTCTCATTGTCCTACATCTGCCCTTCAGTCCTCTCAATTCAACCATTTCTAATTCAGCTTTCTATGTTTGGACCACTCCTTTCCAGATCCTTTGGCTAGAGAGAGAATAGGCCTTTTTTTTTTTTTTCTTTTCTTTTCTGTGTCCATGGGCACAGATTTCTCCAGCACCTAGTCTATAGTACCTTTGAAAAGTTTTTAATCAAGGGGCACCGGGGTGGCTCAGTTCGTTAGGCATCTTGTGTCCAGGTCAGGTCATGATCTCGTGGTTCCTGGGATGGAGCCCCCCGTCCAGTTCTGTGCTGACAGGGAAGAACCTGCTTGGGATTCTCCCTCTCTCTCTGCCCCTCCCTTGCTCACTCTCTCTCTCAAAATTAATAAAGATTTAAAATAAATAAAAATTTTTTTAAATTTTAAAAAATAAAAAATTTTAATCAATTTATTCAGGTATAATTGACATGCAATGTGGTATACTCATTTTAAGCATACAGTTCTGTGAATTTCTTTTCAATGTTTGTTATTGAGAGGGAGCGCAAGCAGGGGAGGGGCAGAGAGAGAGGAACAGAGTTTCTGAAGTGGGCTCTGCACTGACAGCAGGAAGCCCAGTGTGAAGCTTGGACTCATGAACCATGAGATCACGATCTGAGCCAAAGTCAGACCCTCAACTGACTGATCCACCCAGGTGCCCAGTTCAGTGAATTTTCAAAAATGATACACTCATGTATCATCACAACCAAGATATAGAACTTTTTTATCATCAAAATTTTCCTTGTTTCGTATGTTAGTACAACCCAAAGTAATGCACAGATTCAATGAGATCGCTATCAAAATTTCAACATTTTTTTGCAGATACAGAAAAATCCATCCTAAAATGTATATGGAACCTCAAAGACACTGGTTAGGCTAAAACAGTCTTGAAAAAGAAGAGCAAAGTTGGAGGTCCCAGTTGCAAAATTTCTACAAAGGCACGTAATCTAAATTATGATTCTGCATAAACACAGACATATGAATTAATGGATTAAAATAGAGAGCCCTTAAATGAGCCCTCACATAAATGGTCAAATGATTTTCAAGGGCATCAAGATCATTCAGTGGGGAAAGTTCAGTCCTTTTAACAAGTGGTATTGGGAAAACTGGATATCCAAATGAAAAATAAAATAAAATTGGACCTTTATTTTACATCATATACAGAAATCAAGTCGATATGGTTCAAAGACCTAAATATAAGAGATGAAACTATAAAACTCATAGATAAAAACATAGGGGAAAAACTTCATGATACTGGATTTGGCAATGATTCCTTGGATATGACACTAAAGAAAAAATAGGTAAGTTCTACTTCCTCCAAATTTAAAACTTTTGTGGATTAAAGCACACTAGCAACAATGAAAATGCAACACATGGAATGGGAGAAAATATTTACAAATTACATCTGATAAGAGGTTGGTATCCAGAATATATAAAGAACTCTAGCAATCCAAGAACAACAACAAAAACCAAAAAACTGATTAAAAATTGGATGAAGGACTTGAATAAACATTTCTCTGAATAAGACCTATAAATAACTAGTAAGCAAATAACAAGAAACTCAACATCATTGATCATTATGGAAAATCAAATAAAAAACACAATAAAATACCACTTCACATCCATTAAGATGGCTATTATTAAAAAACACAAAACAAGTGTTGGTGAGGATGTGGAGAAATTGGAACCCTTGTGCACTTCCTCAAAAAATTAAAATTATCACATGATCCAGCTATTCCACTTCTGAGCATGCACCCAAAGAAGTGAAAGCAGGGACTTCAACAGATATTTGTACACCTATGTTCATAGTAGCATTATTCAAGTAGCTGAAATAATTCCACCTGGGTGGAAGCAAGCTAAGTGCCCATTGACAGATGAGTGGATAAACAAAATGTGAAATATACATGCTATGGAATATTATTTAGCCTTAAAAATTAAAGGAAATTGTAGGGCACCTGGGTGGCTCAGTCAGTTAAGCAACTTCGGCTCAGATCATGATCTCATGGCTCGTGAATTCAAGCCCCACATCAGGCTCTGTGCTGACAGCTAGCTTAGAGCCTGGAGCCTGCTTCTGATTCTGTGTCTACTTCTCTCTCTCCATCCCTTCTCTGCTCTCTCTCTCTCTCTCTCTCTCTCTCATACACACACACACTCTCTCTCTCTCTCTCCTCTCTCTCAAAAATAAACATTAAAAAATTTTTTTAAATTTTTTAAAAAGTGAAGGAAATTCTGACACATGTTACATCACAGATGGACTTTAAAAACATTTGCTAAGTGAAATTAGCTAATCACAAATAGATGAATATCATATGATTCTACTTGTATGGGGTACCTGGAATAGTCAAATTCATAGAGACAAAAAGTAGCAGGGCGCCTGAGTGGCTCAGCCAGTTAAGTGTTTGACTTCAGCTTAGGTCATCTCGCAATTCCTGAGTTCCAGCCCTGCATCAGACTCTGTGCTGACAGGTCAGAGCCTGTAGCCTGCTTTAGATTCTGTGTCTCCCTCTCTGTCCCTCCCCAGCTCTCACTGTCTCCTGCCGGAGGCCGTGCCGGCTCCGACAGGTCCAGGAGTCCCTGAAGGATGGGCGGTGTCGGCGAAAGAGAGTGAGAGAGCCCCAAGATTCTTTCTGATCACCAGGCAGGCATCTCTGTCCTGTCAGTTTTGGTATCTTTATTTTAAGGTTCAGCAACAAGATGAAGTCATAGAAAGGAATTTCTTACAATGGGAGGCCTTTTGTGATATCAATTAACAGAATGTTCATAGTGAAAAACAGCATAACATACAAGTTAAATTGTATATAGATAAGCTAAGAGTTATTCTGTCTGGCCCTCAAGAAGATAAATGTTTCTGGATTGGTTTATTTGTGGAAACTAACATGGGGGGCCCTAAATTGTCAGTCTTTGCACCTGGGTTTATGTTTTAGCTACTCTTATCTATCCTCATCCCAGTTGCCAGTGTAAGGGAGGGTGTTTGTGGAATGTAGGCCTTGAGGAAGGGACTGCTATGCTTACCAATTAGCAAAGATATATGTAGTAACTTATGTTCTGCCCTGAAATAGGCTCTTTGTCTCAGGGCCAGGCTCAATTGTAACTCTTGTGTTCTTAACCCCTTAAGTCTTGGATCTGCAAGGCCCATAGGAAGAGCCTTTTGACAATCGCCCATAGAGCTTTCATCTAAAGTCTCTTTTGTAAAGGCAGGAATATGCTTTTCCTTATGAGGTATCTGTATTCAGAATATGGGTCTGATATGGAATATTGTGAGGCCTGGTCAATACCAGCAGGCTCATTTCCAGCATGAGCCAGTAGTAGCAGAAGGAGATACTAGTCTTCATTTCTCATGGCAGAAGCTGTGCAAACATTGCCATTTCCTTGCTGTGACTGCCATCCAGAGAGGCCAGTGCGGCTCCCGGCAGTCTCCCCATCTCTCTTTCTCTGTCTCTCAAAAATAAATATTGAAAAATATATTTAAAAAACAGAATAGTCGTTTTCAGGGACTGGGAGGTGAATGGGGAGACAGTATTTAACGGGTATGGAGTTTCAGCTGGGGAAGATGAAGGTAGTGAAGGCTGCACAACAATGTGGATGTACTTAAGCCACAGAACTCTACACTTAAAACTGGTTTAAATGGTAAATTTTATGTTATATGCATTTAACCACAATAAAAAAAATAAAAGTCAAAAAGTTTCTTTGTGCCTCTGATTAGTGAACCCCCTTCCCCTCAGGCCCATATGACCACTTTTCTGCTTTCTACAACTATGGATTAGTCTTGCCAGTTCTATAGCATATTGCAAACAGGATCATACAAAATGTACTTACTCTT